GCCCTCAGATGATGGAAGACTTTGTGCGTAAGTCCTCAATATGGGTCTCTAGAGCACTCTCTTTCCCTTCAGCCCCAGGATCTGAAGAATTTGAGGGAATGAATGTTATTTAATTTAAAAGTATATTTCTAGAATACATATTGTGTGCCAGACCCTATACTAGTAATAAATGGATAAGAAACAGTCCCTAGGCTCCAGTTCAGGTGAGCCATAGCAGACACAAACAACAACTTTAAGGGGTTATCAAATTTCAATGAAGACAGTACATCAGAGAGTTGTGGGTGCAGAGAGGAGAGGCCAAACCCAACATGCAGGATTCAAGACAGGCTTCCTAGTGGAGGTGACACGCGAGCTGAGTTTTATAAGAAGAGTGGTATTGAACCAAAAGAAGAAACAGTGTGGAAGTGGTATTCCTTGGGGAAGGAAGAGCATAAAGAAAGGCAAAGAGAATGGTGCAAAGCTGCTTGAGATATATCAAGAATAAACAGGTGTTACTGAAATGTAGGGTAGTAGGAATGGAGTGGAAGAAGGGAGTGCCAGTCTATGAGTCTACAAAAACAACATAAGACAGGGACTGGATTGAGAGATTTGTAGGGCTACTGAATAGCCTGGGTTTTATCCTGAATGATGCCAGTTTAGTCAATTTACCTCAAGTTTACCAGATTCCCATTGAATGCAGTTTTTAGCACATGGTCTGGAATAGAGCAGGTGTTCATTCTAAGTCAGTTAGACAAAACACATATAGGCAGTTGACAGTCTAAAAAATGTCTATGTCAGTACTGGTCCAGTATGATGAGCTCCAGTGCTCTGGGAGCTGGAGGAAGAGTGAGCACTTATGGCTAGAGAAAGTAGGAAGCATGAGTCAGGAATGCTTTGTGGGTGAAGAAGTCCTTGTGCTGCAACTTGAAGTACATGTGGTACAGTGCAAAGACATTCCAGAATAAGGAAATTCCATGAGCAAGGACCTAGAGATAGGAAAACACAAGACATGCACTGGTAATAGTCATTCTGCTTGTCTGGAGCATAGGTAGTATAAGAGTTCAACGAAGACAAGATAGGTAGGTGCCATTCATTTAAAAACATCAAATAATGCTAGCCAACATCTATTAAGTACTTAACATGTTACCAAGCACTGTTCTAAACTCTTTGCATGTATTAACTCATCTAATACACATGAGGCTGAGATGCCAATATTAGCAATTCCCTTTTATATATGTGGAAATTGAGGCACAAAAATATATAGAAACTGGTCCAAGGTCACACAGCTACTGGATTTGAACTGTGGAGTCTGTCTCTACCACCACAGTCATAACCACTAGGTCTACTGCCTGAGTTGATGATCCAGACTCCTGGACCTTTTGCTCAGTCCTCTCCATTGCTCTGGGCTTCAATTATAGAGCCCTCAGTATTCTTGGTTCTCTGAGTGTCCATTCATGCTGAGCTTTTGCAGGAAAGAGATATGAGAGGCATTTACCATGACTCCGTCAGTCCTTTAACTCTAGTCAACCCATCCTGAAATCCTGCAAATGGTTGCTAGTCTCTCTCAAATTTTTTTCTATTGCCAATTTTAGAAGACATGTCAATGTAATTTCTAATTTTCCTGCTTCTTTCTTGATCCCTTCTAACCTTTTGTCCACAGTGACCATCAGAGGGATTTTTCTAAACATATGACTATATACTTCCCTTGCTTAAACCTTTTCATGTTTCCTATTTGTCTGGACTAGAGCAGTGGTTTCCAATGTGAGGTATGCAAGATGACCCATTAGGTGAGGGGGCTCATTAGAATTTTGTGTTTCTTTTTTATCTTAAAAATAGGAAATTAGGCATTACTGATATTGATCTTTAACATTTAGACTGATAATGATACATGTGTCCATATATAAAAAACATATATAGATTGGAAGCATGTGTTAAAATGTTTATACTGATAGAATGTACAGTCCAAAATTTGGAGATTACTGGCCTGTAGAACAGCTGAAGCCCCTTGGCATGGCATTCAGTGCCTCAAACATGGTGAGTTCTATGCCCTCACCTCTTTTCCACATTCATTTTATTTTTTCCAGTTACACTGAGTAACTTAAAATTCCCTTGTTTTGCTCTACTTTCTTACCTTTCATGTTTTGCTAATAATGCTCCCTTTTTATTGGAACGCCCTCCCTCACTCCTTCCTCTGGCTTACTTCCTTTATCTTCTAGACTTAGTCATCCTTTCATTCATTCTTTCAACAAGTATTTATTGAGTACCTACTGTCTGCTAGACACTGTTCTAGGTGCTGGGGATCCAGTAGTAAACAAATCAGACAAAAATCACTGTCCTTCTGAAGCTTACATTCTAGTGGAAGGAGATAGTCAAAAAACTTTAAAAAAATAAGCAATGCATATAGCATGGTAGTTTTAAGTGTTACGGAAAAAATAAAGCAGGATAAGGGAATAGGAAATGTAGATGTGGAGGGATTGGTTTGGAAGAAGGTTGTAGCATTGAGTGTTAAGGGTAGAGATCATTGTGGTGACACTTGAGCCAAGCTATGAAGGAGGTGAAGGAGTTAGCTGGGCAGATATCAAGGGTAAGGTCATCCTAGGCAGAAGGAAAAGACTAAGGTAGGGAAGATCCTATTACAGGAGTATTCTTCTACACTTGAGGAACAAAGAAGAGAGGAATGTGGATGCAGTGGTGTAAACAAAAGGCAAAAACTGAATAGTGAGGGGAAATGTGAGTCCAGATTGTGAAGGAATTTGGCTTTAACTCTGAAATAGATGGTCTTTTGAGGGATTTGAGCAGAGGAGTGACAGAGTTGACTCAGGTTTTAACAGAATTGGTCTGACTTCTATGTTGAGAATAGACAAAGAGAGAATGAGTGGAAGTAGGGATCCATTGGGGGCTACTATAATACTACAAGTAAGAGAGGATAATGACTCAGACCTGATGATGGTATTAGAGGTGATGAGAAGTGATCTAAATTATGAAGGTAAAGTCAATGGTTACTTGCTGATAGATGAGATGTGTGGTTAGAGAAAAAAAGAAAAATAGAAGATGGCTCTAAAATTTTTGGACTAAACAACTAGATTTGCCATCAAGTTAGAGATGGATAAGGATGAAACTAGAGTAGACTTGGTGGAAGGTAAAGAGATCAATAGCTCAGCTCTGCTTATGGGAAATTAGAGATGCTGATTAGACAGTCAGGTGGAGATACAGAAAGGCAGCTGGATATACGAGTCTAGAATTCAGAATAGGGGTCTGGGCTAAGATGAAAAGCTCAGAATCATCAGCATATAAATGGTGTTTAAAGCCATGAGACTAAACAAGATCTCCCAGGGAGTAAGCATAAAAACAAAGTCAAGGACAGAGCCCCGGCACACACTTGAGGCTTTTCCAACAATGGGGTCAGTCAGGTTCTCTTCTCTAGGTTCCCCCCTAGTACAGGAACACTGCCCACCCCAGACTCAAAGGTCACAAATGATGACACTGTATGGTTACTGTCACTGTCATCTTCATTAGGCTCAGTTTTCTGATGGATTCACTTCTTGGGTCGCAGCATGTCCTATACTTAGGAGTAGTCCAAGCCAGGCTAGTACAGCTTTAAATTATGTCAAATGAGTGCTTCCCAATCGTTTATACATTATTCATAGCACACAATTGAGTAGACAGGAGTTACTTCTCGTTACAAGATGTCATAGAGGTTTGAGGGGATCATTATCTTGGCATATCTGTATCAAGACACAGAGGTTAGTAAGACCTTGTCTAACCAATTCTTTCCTTCCCCACCCCTTACCACCTTTTAGAGAAGCTGCTGGTAGCCTGGAGTGAGGTGGGGCTGCCCCTCCAGGATGTGTCTATGGCTGCCTGCAATTTCTGTCATCGGCCTGTGCACTTTGAGCTCATGAGTGAGTGGGAACGTTCCTACTTTGGGAATATGGGGCCCCAGTATGTCACCACCTATGCCTGAGAAGCCAGCTGCCTCAAAGCCCCACCCCATCTGTACTTCATATGGGACTAAGCATCCTTCTCTCCTCGCTTTGCTGTGTGCCTCTAGCTGACTTCAGTCTGAAAATAAAGAACAAACTGCAGCATTTGTAGTCCTTTGTTAGACAGGAAACTATATTATATCTGACCCTTCAGACAAATGGCAGAGCCACGAGGAAACCATAGATCACGTGTTGGTCTGACCAACCCATTTTACTGATAGGGATACTGATCCAGAAAGAGGAAGATGGCAGACAAAAACTACACAGTGAGCTGCATACGAAGAGCTGAGACACTTAGCAGGTTTATTTGAAATGGCTCCTTCCCAATAGTTTCAACAAAAATCGAGGGATTGACTTTTCACTGGTAAACCTGGAAACCCTATGCCCGTGTAGCCCCTGAAGCCAGGAGATGGAATCAGCCCTAATTGAACTGCCTGGAAGCAAGAAATAGTTCCCAAAAACTTTGGAGGTATTTTCCAGCACACAGAACGGATGGCCTCAATCTGTTATCCTTACCTCTCCACAGCACCCTATAGAAAGGACCTACCAGCTCTATTTTCCAAGGTAGGAAAGATACTTGGCTATAACGAGCAACTTTTTCAAGGAAATGCTCCCAATCTTTACAGGTCATAGTGCACAGAAAACATTTGCATGGCACACCTGGGTGAACTAATGATACTACCTCCCTAGGAGGTACTCTCTCCTGACATTTGTGTTCTGTCAACTCCAGGGTCATTTCTTCCCACCCTATAACCCATTTTGTAGCAGCTGTGGGACACACCAGTTGGGAAGCGCTGGTTTAGGATATGCAACCCACCTGAGCTTTCTAACACACCCAAGCCACCTCTTTTGCTGATCTAACCTCAGCAGTGCAGGGAACCTTTACAACTCTACAGAGCACGTTTATGGTAGTACCACTCCTCCTTCTTCCCCCCTTCCTAGAAGTTGTATTATCAGGCTACAGGCAGCTGTCAAACCTAGTGTTGAGGTAATGTCTGACTCAACTTCATGAAGCACATCCAAAATGTCTACATGACATGGTGTACTAAAACAAAAATACAGACTTTATTCAGGCACAGATATATTTCTCAGCAAGAAAGACAAGGGTTTAAAACCAACTTCCTGGGGCAACTGGTTCCTGTGCACTTCTGACAGGAAGGTGGGAAGTGGAGTGGGGAACTGGGTCACATTAAGGAACAAGAAGCTCACCAATGAGGAGGAGCTAGGCAGGAAAAAGAATCAGAGAGGGCTTAAAGGAAGAGGAAGAGGAAAAAGGTTCTTCAGGAAAGTGGAAGAGGAGGAGGAGTCCTTGGGGGAGAAAGCGGCAGCTTAGGAGGGAGCTAGCTTCAGATTATGTACAGGGTTGACCATGCCAGATATCTGTACCTTGGGTTGGTTCAGCTGGGCCTACTCCAGAGGAAGAAGTTGCAGCGGGAGGAAGGGTCAGTGGGAGGACCCTGGGGCCTGGCACACATATAGAAGTGGCGGCCCAGATTGGGTCCTGGCTTCTTCACAGTTCGCATCACACATGGCTCCCTGTGACCCCCACAAAGGGGCATGGGCAAGGGCCCCCCCAGCACAGACTTCCAAAAAGAAGTCCGTACCTCCTTTTCATCCTTGGCCTCTGAAGCACTGGCCGGCCCCTCCACCACTTTTGTCATCACCTCCTCTTCTGGAGTCTTTGGGGTCATGAGGGCAACCACACTAGGAAGCTCTGAGATAGAAGCTTGGGGACAATCAGAAGATGGCTGGAAGTAGCTTGTCAGGTTTTTTTGGCCTCTGCTGGGGCCAGTCTGACTTGGCCGAGGCCTGGTTGAATGCACACGGGCTTTGTTTTGGTGCATCTGTATCCGGGTTTGTTTGCTGAGTCGCAGTGTTGATTGCTTGAACACAGGATCTTGTTTGAGATGAACTAGGAAGCGAAGAATCTTGAGCTGGGTACCTGCAAACTCAGGGAGGAAGCGGGTGCATAGAGATGGGCACTGTTTTGCTGGCACAGAGGACACACTCAAGACTGCACCCACGGGACAATGATCAGAGCCCATCACCTCAGGCAGCCGGAAGGAGTCCTGGAAGGTGTCTATTACCAGGGTCCGGTCCCCCAGCACATAGTCAAGCCGGGAGCCATAATTCAGGCGGCGGGCCCCACTGACTGCTGACCAGCAGGTGAATGCACCCTCTTGCTTTGGCTGGAAGCAACGGTAGCTGTCAATGAAGGGCCTTATAGGGGCCCCAGCCTGGCATCCTAGGTTACTGAGCAAGCCATCCATCCACTTGCGCCCTGGGTCCTCTTCAAAGCATTCCTGGGGAAGAGGGAGAGGGATGAGACAGAGGCAAAACTAGATGCCTAGAAGTGGAAGAGACTTAGACTAACTGCTTCATTTTTAAGATAAGAAAATGTGAGTGTCCCAAAAAAGACTATTACTCAGGGTCACACGGCCCAGAACTGGCAGAGCTGGGATTAAATGTTAAATCTGAAAGCTTGTTGTTTGCTTAATCAAAGCAATTCTCAGAACTGCTCACCAAAAGGATGGAAAGCAGGAAGTTAAAAGTGGTACTGGGATTAGGAGGTAAGAAAACTGCTACCTTTTCATTTAAACCCTCTAGAACTATCTGGCTTATTTTGTGGGTGTCAAAGGCCTCACAGACCATCTCCTCTCTCCCCCACAAACTCCTTAGCTGAGGAGTTACAGAAATCCATACCTCATTACTTCTTTTGGCTCTGACCCCCATTTCATTCATCCATCCAATCCATCTGGCCCACCCACTCATTCAATGAAAAAAACGTTTAAACAACACTGATTATGTGCCAGGCATGGTACTAGAGACAAAGTGGGAACCTGAGCTCGTCCAAGGGATCAATGAGGCTTCCTTTCAGAAAGTGATCTGGAGCTGGAAAGTTAAGGCTGAGCAGGAGCAACCCAGGCAGAGGGTGTTATAAATTGTGATTGCAACCTCTGTAATGGGCCTGTGGAGAGAGGAAGCATGAACTCAGAAGACAAAGGGAGACCAGACTGGGGACCAGCAGACCAGCAGGAGATAACTATCATAGTCCATATAAGCAAGAGATGATAATCACTTAGACTAGGGTAGAGCCAGAGGAGACAAATAAAAATGAAATTAAGAGATGATTTGGAACTAAAATCAACAGTACCCATTGATTGTGGGCGTAGAGAAGAAAGACAATATTAACACAATTCCCAGGCTTCTGGATGGAGTAGCCAAGGGGATGATGGTGTTATTTAGGGAGATGAAGACTAGAAAAGCCAGTCTTTTGGGAAGTGGACATATTCTGCTATTTTGGAAAGACTGTGTTTGTCATGTGACCTGATACTATTAGTCTTTTCTTGGCAGAAGAACGTAAGAGGTACACTTGAGAGATCTATGATAGTTCTGAACTAGGAAGAAAAGTTATAAAGTTATATGACACTATTGCAGGAAGGAGAAAGAACAGACTGAGTTAATGCCTAATGAGAAATAAGGTAGGAAGGGACTGAAGGCTTGCACTTTGTAATGTACACTCTTTTCCCTGTCACACTACCACCACCATTCTTTCATTATCTCATTTCTGTTCATTTTCCCTACTTGGAGCCACATCTGTTTATGTAGCTCTTCTCTAAGTTAATCAAAAGACTTCCTACAGCCCCTTCTCTGAGCCAAGCCCAATGCTGAGTTGGACTATGCCAGCATAAGTTACTGATCGCTCCCCTCGTGAACAAGCTGAGAACTGGTTTGTAGATTCTAGGGCAGTAGTTCTGAAGCCCGACTGTACAAGAAAATCAACCTGGAACCTTGTAAAACATACTGCTACCCTGGCCCCACAACCAACAGATTCTGATTTAATTGGTCTAGGGTGGCACCGAGGTATTTTTTAAATATTTTATTTATTTATTTGACACGGGCTGGGGGGAGAGCGAGCGCGTGCACATGAGCAGGGCAGAGGGAGAGGGAGAAGCAGGCTCTCCAGTGAGCAAGGAGCCCAATGTGGGACTCGATCCCAGGACCTTGGGATCATGACCCAAGCTGAAGGCAGCCGCTTAACCGACTGAGCCACCCAGGCATCCCTAGGGTGGCACCAAGGTATTAACATTCTTATAAAAGCTCCTTGTTCTAATGTGCTGTCAGGGAATGAGAACCACTGGCCTAGAGGGACTCAAAGATGAAAGGTTCATACAACAGCAACAACAACAAAAGACAGGGTGCAGTGAAAAAATCAGAATGAAAATAACTTTTTCAATGGGCTGAGAGGAGATAACCTAGCTGGAGTGGACAAAGAATGTAGGGGTACTGAAGATGGAAATGGAGATTAAAAAGCCTTCGATGCCAGGCCTAGATGTTTTCTCTGTATTGCAGAGGTAACAGGGAAGTACTGAAAGTTCACGAGCAGGAAAACAGTGTATTAGGGAAATGATCAAGACAATGTGGAATTCAAGGACCTCAAAATCTGGCCCCCAAAGGACTTTCCCGCCCCATCTCCTACAACTCACTTCCCTTCTCCTGTCAACCCCTAACAAGAATGGGACTTGCAGTTCACCATGCATACCAAGCAAATTCTCACCTTGCAGCCTTTGCTTAAGCTAGAATGCTTTGCTTCCCCTACCCCCAAAGCTCTGTTTTACTCATCTTTTAAAATTCAACCATTTTCAGAAACAAGATGAAACCAGAGAGGGAGACAAACCCTAAGAGACTCTTAATCTCAGGAAACAAACTAAGCATTGCTGGAGGGGAGGGGGATGCATGGGATGGGGTGGCTGGGTGATGGACATTGGGGAGGGTATGTGCTATGGTGAGTGCTGTGAATTGTGTAAGAATGATGAATCACAGACCTGTATCCCTGAAAAAAAATAGTACATTATATGTTAATTTTAAAAAAATTCAACTACTTTCAGATGCCTCCCTAATGTCTAGACTGGCCCAGGAATCCCATTTCTCCAGGCTCCCCTAGACTGCCATCTCTGCTTCAGCTCTGAAGATATCTTTCTATAATTGGCTGGTTTTAAGTCCACAGCCCCCCACCATGCTGAAACCTCTGAGGGGACAAGAGCCAGAACTGACTGGTAACTGAGTCCTCAGCACATGGCTCACGACCAAGTCAAGGGCAACACAGTAATGTTTCCTGAGTGAATGAACAATCTTCAGCGCTTTGAGAAGTTATTTCAAACTAAGCTCTGCTTTTCCATGAAGGAAGCTACCCTTGGACCCAAAATCTAGCATTGGTTGGCTGGCTAAACAGAACTACAGTCAGAAGTGAGGAAAGGGGCCTAGAAGAGCCTTACCAGGTTGACTGCATCCCAGTGGTCAATGGGGCGGTGGGCTGTATTCAGGTCACCCAGAATGATCACATGGCTAAAAAACATGACATGGGATTATCAACTAGACACTCAAGAAAGGGAAGCATTAGTCCTGGCCCATCTATGGTCTTCTAAGCCCAAGAGCTCAGATCGGCCCCTCCTCACATTTTAAGGCAAAGTGGGAGCCCATAGCAATGCATAGCTTCAATCTTACCATAATCTTGCTAAATTTTATGCCTGACCAATCCAATCCTGATCTCCAAAGATGACATCATTCCCTATTCGACATGACCGTCTCACTTATCTCTACCTAATGGTATCTTTCTAGTCCTGCAAAGTTGAGGCCAGGTACTTCTCTTAGGAAGTATCCCTTGAGTACTCTAACCCACCCTCACTTTCCTGTCCTTCCCTCAGACAAGACTTTTCATTTGCTCCTGGGCACTTTAGCTTCTTCAACTCATGTCATCCTTAAAACTACTCTGTAGTAGGGATTCATACACTCACTTAACAAAAGAAAATAAAGCAGAACTAACCTCGGGACTCATAGTGAGTAAAAGGAGCCAGGAAAGGTGTTTAGAGGTATCTAAGTACAAAACCCTTACCTGTATCACTTTACCTGGTCCTCACAGCTCATATAGTGCAGAGCCCATTCAGATAGACACGCTGATGTCTCCAACAAGGCTATAAAGGAACTCAAAAGACAAAGATCCCATATCCTTCCAATAGAGCTTGACACCTAAATGGGTTGGGCACCTAGAACAAGCTCAAGTACTCAGGCTTACAATACCTGCCAGCTGCCAGGAGGGCTTCAGCTCTGATCTGCAGCAAGCGATAAAAGCGCATTTTAAATGACAGCCGCTCAGGTTTCCCAGCATCCGCATGGGGGCAGTACACGTTGATTAGGGTCAAGGTCTTCTCTTTCCCTTCCCAAGTGCTGAGGAGAAGAGACCACCCCCCAAAACACAAGAAAAAGTCATTTCCAAGCCTTTCTCCCCACACCACGTGGCTTCCACTTAATGTTTGCCTGTAGGATGGATATGAAGAAGGGGACAGAAAAACATGAATGTACTGGAATGCACAGGACTTGGGGAATGACTACAGGTAAGGCAGGGAGGGGGCACTAGGATAACACCCAGGTAAACCAGGTGATGGTGCTTCCATTCACAACAGGACATCCAGAAAGACAGCAACTTGGGGTAATGAGCTGCTAAGTTGCATTTGATGTGCCTGTGGTAATAAGAGAGCCGAACATCCCAGCCAGTTCCCCATTGTAGAGATGGGGAACTCAAACCTCACAGGGGAACATGATTTGCCCAAGGTCACACAGTGAGTAACCCCGCCAGAACTAGAGTCCAAGAAAGGCAAATGTGGGACATTTTCCATGATGAATATATGTTTGTTAAGGTGAGCTTCAGAATCACCATACTAACAGTAGAAGCAGCAGTGCTCAGTGACAGGGGGATGTGGGCTATTACCGGATCTTGTGTTGTGTGAGGAGGGCCCGGCCCTCACTATCCAGAGCGCGAAGCTCCTCTTGGGTGAATTCATCCATGTTTCCATAGCAACCCACGTCCCCATCATGAGTGGCAAGTAGGCCACTCAGGCCTTCTTCAGCAGCCATGGGGGTAGCGCTGTCCTTACAGAACGTGGCTACACCTGGAGGTAGATAGGATACTCTGAATGGGCCTAAAAGCCAATAGCCTATTGCATAGCTTATTGCCCCCACATAGGTCCCCCGGGTCATCTTCACCTAGTGTGGCTGTACTGACAACTCTTTCAACTCCAGAGCCATGGATGGCTCCCGAGAGACTGAGGCAATTCTACTCAAATACCGGAATGTCAGTTCCTTCATCTAAAAAAGCCACAGGGGGGCACGTGGATGGCTCAGTCAGTTAAGCATCTGCCTTCTGCTCAGGTCATGATCCCAGGGTCCTGGGATGGAGCCCCAAATCGGGCTCCCTGCTCAGCAGAGAGCATATCCTGCTGCTGCTCCCCTGCTTGTGTTCCCTGTCAAATAAATAAAATCTTAAAAAAATTAAAAAGCCACAGAACAATAATAGCTACTAGTGTAAGTGTTTTACATGAACACATGGTAAGTGCTCAAAAAGTGTTAGATATTATTATTATCACATGGACTAATCTGTTTAATCCTTATACAGGCATACCCCAGTATATTGTGAGTTCAGTTCCAGAACACCACAAAAAGCAAATATTGTAATAAAGCAAGTCAAATGAATATTTTGGTTTCCCAGGGCAAATAGAAGTTATGTTGTTACTGTACTGTAGTCTATTAAATGTGCAATAACATTATGTCTAAAAAATGTGTATGCCTTAATTAAAAAACATTTTATTGCTAAAAAACGCTGTCATCTGAGCTTTTAGGAAGTTGCAAGCACTGATCACAGATCACCATAACAAATATGATAAAAAAGTTTAAAATATTGTAAGAATTACCAAAAAGTGACAAAGAGACATGAAGTGAGCAAATGTTGCAGGAAAAATGGTGCCAAGACATTTGCAATACAGGGTTGCCATAAAACCCTTCAATTTATAAAATATGCAATATCTGTAAAACATAATGAAGTGCTTTACATATATATGTATATATATAAATATATTATAGATACATAGATTCATATATTTGTTACATATTTATTTACATTTAAGTTTATATATATTATATACATATATCTATATATAAACATACACATAATTACAAAACAAGGTATGCCCATACTAGCCATAGGAGGTAGGTATTATCTCCATTTCTCAGCTGAGAAACTTGAAGCATAAAAAGGTTAATTAACTTGCCAGAGGGTACACAGCAAGGAAGTGAGGTAGGATTCAAACCCTGGCAGTCTGGCTCCAGAGCTCATACAATTAACTACCACATGACTGACTGTGCTTCCCAAGTCAAATAGGATAATTTTACACATAAAAACTATCCTTCACATAGCTTTATGTGACTTTAGTTCTGTGGACTAAAAGCCTGGGGGCCTGCAACATCAGACAGAGTGAGGGGATGCAACGGAGGTAGGCCAGAGTTGCTACGGTCGCCATGACCCACGGTAACCAGTGTTAGCTCAACCGCCAGAAGAATATGAAAAAGCAGAGCTACTAGTTTAAGGGAAAGTACCAAGGTGACAGGCTTTCTGCTGATATTTGCAAGCAGAGGGACTAAAAGATCATTCAGCAGAAGCAGAAAAAGGCAAACGAGAAGGAGGAACCCAAGTAGCTTTGTGGCTTCGTGTCCAAGCCTCTAGGCCTCCCCTATGTACCTGGAGCCAGGCCCACCATGCTCATGTTTTCTCCTGTAGTGCTCACAGGTCCCAGCACCAATGGCATTCCTTTTGCCCTAAGTCTGCAGTGAATCCCTTTTGTGCTTCCTTCCCCTCAGGTAGCCTCTCTACCCCTGGGCCATCCTGGGAGTTGTGGGAGTACCCTTTCCCAGTGTTTTTTTATTCCTGTGGGGCTCACCCTAAAAGTAGGGCTCACCTACAAAAGTAGCTTTGTAACTTCAAAAGAAATTTAAAAGTAAAAACCTGAGTTTCTTATTACCTTATCAAATACTGGAAACCCTTTCACCCCCGACCTGCTGCCATCACTAATTTACAGTCCCCAGAAAGCCCCATTTACCAGAATAGCCACTGCGGTTGCGGCTGAAGCTGAAATAGGAGTTATAGCCCTCAATGATAGCCAGAGGCTCTCTCAGCACATCCCCTACAAAAAAAAATGTAAGATTGTGTCAGAGATAAAGGTAGGGCCCCAGACACAAAGGTCTGGAATCTAAGTTGTAGACTAATTCCTTGCACACATCAGAGCCAGAGTTGGGAGGGAAAGGAAGTATCCGTGTTAGAGGAGGAACTAGAAAGGTGGGGACTAGAGAGGGAATTGATATAAGAATAAGAAGGAGGTAGGCTATGGAATGGGAGGAGGGAAATTAGGTGGGAGGAAGCTAGTGATTAGGTGAAAGGAGGGAGCTGGAGGTGGGAAATGGAATATGGGAGAGAAAACTGGGAATCCAAGCTGGGGATATGAAGTAGGAGAGGGAGGTAATTAGAGGATCTAAACTGGGGATGGAGAAAAAGTTGTTAGAGGGGGGTGTAAGCGAGAGGGAAGGAATGGGGGTTGTTGAGCTAGGGTGGGAGAGAGAGAACTAGGGGATCTAATCTCTGCGTGGGACATGAGATAGAAATGATAAGAGGTTCTGAGGCTGGGAAGGAGAAATGGTGGTAGAGCTCTAGGAGATCTGAGGGGAGAACAGAGGATCTGAGATGGTGAAGTAAAAAGGAAGAAATCAGGGAGTCTGAGCTGGGGGCAAAGATGGGGTGGGAATTAAAGGATCTAAGCTCGAGGCAGGGAAAGAGAATTGGGGAATCTAATTTGGGAGCTGAAGCTGGACAGTGTGTGACGAGGAGGAAATTTGGAGTACTGAGCTGGGGCAGGAGAATGAGTAGGAATTACGAGGATCTGTGCCAGGATAAAGGTTGCACGGGTGAGGGAATTAAAGCTCTGCTGACGACAGGAGATGAAGCAGGAATTAAGACATCAAGCTGTAGTGAGAAATAGGGGTTTAGGGGGAGGGCATCAGGATTCTAAACTGGGACTAAGAGGAGGACTCTACGGATAGAGAAATGATTTAGTAAAATGAGATTAAGTAGGGGACAAAAGTTAGTGTAAAAGATAAAGTATGGTAGTATGGATTTTTGAGCGCTCACTGGTCACTTTGGTCTCCTGAAGGCAGACGATGTCGGCATCCAGCTTGTCCAAAATGCGCCCCACGGCCATGGCGGCACAGTTGCTGGGCTCCTCGTATACCATCCCTTGCAGGGGGCTCCGGATCCCATTGATGTTCCAGCTCACCACCCGCAACATCTCAACAGCGAACTGCAACACCTCACAGTCCGCGCCCAACTCAGGGGACACAGAATGGCTGGACACCACCACCCACTCCCGAGTTGGTCAAATCCCGCCTTGCGCGTGCATTGGCGCATGCGTTCTCCTGCGCGCCACAAAGCTGTTGGAGAAAGTGGGGCGGGGCTTCGATCCCCCCAGTTCTCATTGGCGGGAGGAGCGGAACTTGATGGGGTGGTGCAGACGCCTAGGAGGAATGAATGCAAGAGGAAGTCCTTCACCTAGGCCCCTCCTCCTCCCGCCGCAAAGTGGCCCAAGCGTCAGAGTCTGTCTGCCTTTCCGGGCTGCTCACAAGACCCGGTTGTGCTTCCAATTACTTCCAGATAGGGCTTCGCCATTTTTTTAGCCGCGGAACCTTGTACGAAACCGCGCGGCAACCGAAGCCCCGCCCCCAGTGCAACTGACCTTACCTCCAAGTGCGCCTCTGGCATCCTGGGAGTATTCGCTGTAACAGTGCTTCTGTGAGAGAGGAGAAGCTCAAAGGAACTGTGCAGCTAGAGGGAGCAGTAAGAAGTGCTCCAGTGGAATTAGACTTAGGAGAAGGCCCCTGGCTTTATAGAGCAAGGGGAGGGGAAGAGAGGAAGCTGTCTCATGCCCACCCTATAGCCATTATTTGTCTTGGGCCTCATAACATTCCTAAGGACATGGCCCATATACTTTTTCGTGGCTCCATTTCTCAGATGAGTAAAAGCGAGGCCCAGGGTATTTAAGAGGGCTACCCAAGCTCCAGAGCAGCACTGTCTCCCAATGTACCCCATGGCTCTTCCATATGTATTATTTGTTTCATTCTCTGGACAACCCTGTAAGGGGTATTAAAGCTAAATATGACAAAATGAGTGAATTCACTCCAGTCGCACAGAAGTGGTAGAGCCAGAATTCAAAGCCTATCTTAATCAGCCCAAGGAATACTTTCCTGAATAAGTTGTTCCTAACACCCACACACCTCCCCAGTTAGATTTTTTCCTCTGGGTCCCCACAGCACCCTCTGGTCCATTCTGTCACAGCACTTATCTGAATGCACAGCTACCATTGATTTCTGTTTTTGTCACACAACTGCCAGCAACTTGAGAGCAATTACCATGTCTTAAAAAAAATTATTTGAGAGGGAGAGAGAGTGCACACAAGCAGGCGAGCAGCAGAGGGCGCTGCAGGGGGAGAGGGAGAAGTGGACTCCCAGCTGGGCAGGGAGCCCAGTGTGGGACTCGATCATGACCTCAGCGAAGGCAGACTCTTACCGGACTGAGCCACCCAGGTGCCCCAAAGAGCAATGACCATACCTGATTTTAACTTGTTAGCCCCATCCTCTAATCTAGGGCACAACATATATTAGGAGTCGATAACTATTTCCTAAGGGAATAAGCAAACACAGGGCGAATGCAAAAGCAACAGATTAGTGACTTGTTTTTGACAACACAAAAATAGGAATAATAGACATGCCTAATGTCCAAGGAAAAGCATGATTTTGCATTCTTAGGTTTCTCACCCCAAACTGCAAGCATAATTTTTTCCCCAGAATTCCATAGCCTTAGAGCCATCATCCTCAATGTCTGCATAAAAGGCGCAAAGAGCTGCTTTTCCTCCAAGAGGACTTAAGGTTACCTTCCAGTTGTTGCCATCAAACTAAATAGCTCTACAATTAAAATAAAAATTTTGGTTTTTCATGCTTTGGTGGTTATTGGCTCAGTATTGAGTCCCAGGAGTGAGATAACTAGGACAAAGGAAATTAACATTTTTATTGCTCTTGCTTCATATTGCCAAATCACTGTCTAGTAAGAGAGCGTGCCCATTTACACTGAAGACCAACCTGCAGCTCAGCCCCAAGGAAATCCAGATCTTGCCTGTCTACATTGCTGGTTTTAATTTCCTCATTCTGCAGTTGCTTGTTAATATTAGTTCTGACCTTTGGGGCAAGGTGAACACATGATTGGCCTGATGAAAAAAGGCTCCGGATGGCTCAGGAACTTCCTTGACAACTAACACAGCTGGTATTTCAACAGAGTGCACACATGCCCCTCTTATCAAGGGTACTTCCACAGCCTTTTCAAGGAACCAACCAACGCCTCCAGACTCCCTCTTTGACGCCATCTCTGTACCTGCTTTGAAGGTCTAAATGCAAGAAAGCTGTGTGTCGGATAATTAGTGATGGAAGAAAAAACCTCTAGGAGAACAGGTAGGTGAGACAGAAGGGGAAATAGATAGAGGTACACAAATCCAAATCCATTCTTTAGGCTCTCTGGTAATTTTTCTCTATATAGGGTTACTTGAAATGTGCCTTAAGGGGTATGGGAGAATTGGGGAAAAGACAATATCTATATCTAATTATCTATCTATATATCTATCTATATCTATCTCTCATCCATCCCAACCTGTCTTTGTGGGACACTGACCAAAAGGGAAGTTCCTTAGCACCTTAGAAGTCTCTCTATTTCGATCTATTCCAGTTTTGAGTGATCTGGATGGTAGGGATTATATCTTGCCATGGTGTATAAAGTAGGTCTGGTTTGCTGTGGCACTTTGAACAAGGCTTTCACCTTCTCTGGGCTTCAATAACCTCCTTACTGAAATGGAAATTGAAGTCCCTGGCCTACTTCCTTCAGAGGGTTGTCTCCTGTAGGAGAACAGGAACCAAATTTCTGGAGATGTTTCAGGTCTTCCATGCTCTGTCTGAGATTAGTGGTCCTGGTATTTTTCTATCGCCTCCATGGGTAATACCACCCACAGGCCTCCAGCTCTTCTCCCAGAGTGACTATGGTCTGTAGAGAGCCACTCTTAGGACTAGGATGTAGTGAGCCTTGGGCCCCAGGCATGGGGTTGAATATAGTGGGGAAATAGTGAACCAGGGCAATGACTGCAAAGGAAGTGGTACCTAAGCTGCTGCCACAAAAGGCCTAATACTCACGTATCAGCTCATAAACTATAAGCATGTGGCCAATCTCCCCTGTATACTCTTACCCCTCACAAATGCATTTATACCCACACACTCCCAAGAATTACTAATAGAGATACCCCATTTGTGATTTTGTAACCCATGGGTGTGGTCTTAATAATGCGTTTAATAGGATTCTCCTACATATCCCTGACTTTGGGAGGATGGTTAGGATCTGTGGGCCTCAGGAAGTCACACTGTGTGTTTTTTCTCCCTATAATTAACCCCATTTTAGAATTCGTGGTTCAGATCTTGGTCTTGAGTGAGTCGCTGATACGGAGTGAAAGTGAACTCTTTTTCTGCTACCAGTTAATTGGGCTTTTTCAGGGTAGGGGACTTCGTATTTTGTTTATTCTATTCTACCACATTAAAGGTTGAGAAACTTTCTAGATACCTCCTTCTACTTTCAGACCTAGTTAGTTTGCCCACCCCATTCCCTGCATAGATCTCAGTTATAATGTTTACCTTCCTGAACGGGGATTCTTTGTGTATATATTCATCTCATCAAGGGAAGAGAGATACAGATTGTACAACTACTCATTAAGCAAGTGTCTTCTCTTTGCCAGGACTTGAGCTGGACACTGGAAACACTGATCACAGATAATCGAGGTCTAGTCCCCATCCTCAAGGAACTCACAGTCCAGTAAGGAAGTATACCAGTAAAAACTGGTGGATACGTGCTCGGATAAATGGAAGCATATAGACAATATGAGAACCAAAGATAATGCCTGTCCCAGGTTACAGGGAAAGGTTCCCAGAAGAGGCAACATTGAACCAGTTCTTGAGGAGTGAGTCAGATTTCATTGAGAATGGAAGGAAAGAGAAGGCATTTCAGGTGGAGCAAAGGCCCAGAGGTAAAAAGAAAATGTCATGTTATGTTTGGGGACTCAGGGAGTCAGCCAGTACAGTTTAAGCATGGGGGTCTAAAAAGAGACATGGCTAGAGAATTAGGTTGGAGCTTGATTTAGAACAGCCATTCTGGGGGCGCCTGAGTGGCTCAGTGGGTTAGAGCCTCTGCCTTCGGCTCAGGTCATGATCCCAGGGTCCTGGGATCGAGCCCCGTATCGGGATCTCTGCTTAGCAGGGAACCTGCTTCCTCCTCTCCCTCCTGCCTGCCTCTCTGACTACTTGTGATCTCTATCAAATTAAAAAAAAAAAAGATTCTCTCTCCCTTTCTCTCTGCCCCTGCCTGTTCTTTCTAAAAAAAGAAAAGAAAAAAAGAAAAGAAAAAGAACAGCCATTCTGAGACCTTTCCATAAAACTTGTTTAGTTTTCCTGCTTCTAGGATCAAAGTTGATAACAGAGGTAAACAAACAAGCAAACAAAAACCAGATAGCCCACGTACCACAAAAGTAAAATAAAATAAAACAAAACAACACATCAACGATAAACAACCAGCTAGCTAGTTCCAGTTCTAGGCAACTTTAATTTGAATTTTCAAGCCTGGACCCCAGGCTTACCCTTTCAGACCTTGCCAATAGCCTGCTAGCCTCCTATCTCAGATTTCCTGATGCTAAAATTACATTTCTGCCTCTTGTCAGGGTCATGAGGACAAAACTGTAAACAGAGATGGAGGTTCATATGACTGGCTCAGTTACCTTGGAAAAGCTACTTCCCCTCCCTAGACCTTAGTTTCCCTATGAGACTAGTGAGAATGTTTGTAAGGAGCAACTAGGATATGGAATATGTTGTTACTTTGTGGGCAATGGAAACTTTACATGTAAGATTATTAGCATTGAAAATCAAAATGAGGGGCGCCTGGGTGGCTCAGTGGGTTAAAGCCTCTGCCTTTGGCTCAGGTCATGATCCCAGAGTCCTGGGATCAAGCCCCACATCAGGCTCTCTGTTCCACGGGGAGCCTGCTTCCCTCTCTCTCTCTCTCTCTCTCTGCCTGCCTCTCTGCCTATTTGTGATCTCTGTCTGTCAAATAAATAAAGAAAATCTTTAAAAAATCAAAATGAGATATTACCTTATATCTATCAGAATGGCTAAAATAAAAAACACAAATAAAAAGTGTTGGCAAGGATGTGGGGAAAAAGGGAACCATCTTACACTGTTAGTGGGAATGCAAATTGATGGAACCTCTGTGGAAAATAGTATGGAGTTTTCTCAAAAAATTAAAAATAG